TGGCTTATCTAGTACTGGAATGTGAATTGTCTCCTAACCTCGAATCAATTTTACCTGCTGTGAATCGTGTTTAAACACACTCTTTGATTCGGTCACTCCATCCTCCGACACAGGGTCCCCCTTTTCGCAGCATGTCTCCAGCCACGCGGATCCTCAACTCTTCCCTCATTCGCACAAACATTTATCTTGGATTATCCTCACACCTAGGTCTTGATGCTCGCGCACCTATAACTCACGCATATGACACAATGACACCAACGTGATAGATCTCTGTGAAGTAAACGGTTGTGTCCACGTCCTCTCCGGTCTTTTTCTTCATCGCGGGTATTAGGAAAGCGTAATCGGGCCAGAGTTGATTCCGTGGCCCCGGCGTGGTTCAATACCACATGCTGGGGCCCACAACAAATAGTGCAATTATTCAGGGGATCAGTAGAATTCACTCCCGAATGTCCTTCATGCTTGGAGTAGGATTTGGATGCATTCAATACGCAGACGCCTCTTGCGATTAAATTGAGTTGTTTTCATTTCGAAGCTGAGGCTGTGTGCGATACCCTTACGCCTAATCCGGTTAGTTTTTTTTGAGTGCTCAAATTAGATTGTGCCTACGAATTTCACCAAATGTAGGCCACAATTCTCAAGAAAGTAAATCAGGGTATGTGAAAAACAGGCGCATTAACACCCACGACGAGAAACACGATTACTCAAGTCAGACTACATGAAGGCCACCTCGTTAACACGACTCACAGCACCAAATCCGATGGCGTGTTTTGTGTAGGTTTAAATACGAACGTCATTGCATCGAATGTTGATACAGCGCTTACGAATCTGTCTTCACTACTCTTTGGAGGCGCTCACCAATCAATCTAGTTGTCGGCATCGAAATTGCGAATTGCGTTCGTCTATTCAATGCCGTCGTCGTCTTGTACTAGCATGGTCATTTTCCGGAATGCTGCTCGTGCGACGTAACTACCAGAGTCTCAATTCAGTTGGTTAAGCACTCGATGAGGTCTGGTAGTGAGGAATTCCTGGAATCTATTGCTGAGGTCAGTATAGTTGACAGTTTCAAACTGGCACTCCTTCATGGGACAAAAAACGGTTGTCCTTGCCTCAAAACACATGTCATGTCCTCACAAACGCATCGTTTCAAATAATCGAAAATTCCATGAATCAGACCGGTGCAGGAAAAGCGAAGAACCAAATCTTTTTCTATCAACCAATCAGAGCTATCTTTACCAATTTTTCTGGCAAACTTGGGAAAATTTTCAGTCTAAAGGCAAAACACGTCATCGTTTGACCACTCAATAGAATTCTATTGGATCATTAGAGTGGATGTGCAGAAATTCGATTTTTTTGGAAATGGCAATTTGGTGAAGTACACTTTGACAACATCGCTGTTTTCGCCCTTAAAACTCGACGTGCATTTGGAGTTGCCCGTGTCCCATGAGGTAGCCAAATCACTGGCATTAATTGCCTGAATTGGTGCAGGAGTAGGTACACATATGACATTTTAATCGTGGGGAAATTGACGTGATTTATTTTTAAATACGCAATGGTTGCATGTTAATTTTCGTTAAAATCATTGTTAATTCAGACTACCTACTTATCGTTTACCAAGTAGATCAAACAGTAATCAATGATCGCCGTTCAATCTAAAATCTCATTGGTCAAACTAACTTCACGGAGTTGGGGGTATGGCAATTTTCACTCTTTCGAAAGAACCAATCAGACTTGGAGGCAAACAGTTTACCTTGGTTGCGTTGCCTCGAATAAACACACAAGGGTAAAGTGTGTTGCCCTGGAAGTCTTATGTTTGACTGAGCATAGATTTTTGCGAATTGGCAAAATGTCTGTTAAAACTACTTCATATGAACGCTGCGGCATAGTTTTAAAACGAAAGTGCTCGCTTCAACCCCTTTTAGAAAGTGTCTACCTCAGAATTTCGTGGGTAATTCATGCAATCTTACACCATAGTTGACCCCGATGCGTTTTAAGAAGTACCCGAGTTTTACTTAAAAGTGACACCTAACTATCACAACTGTAGATTATTCTTTGGTCAAATTGCTATTCCCAACGCTTATGCACCGGTGAGTTAGTAATCAGACATGAATTTCGTTAATAGACCATGCCGTTCCACATTGTCCTTGTTTCAATTTTTTGCACACGACTGCATTCGAACTGCGGACTGTTTTTGTCGAAATAACACCAAAAGCAGCTCATCTAACAGCACCGTCTACTAGCCTTTCATGTACAATAACCCACATTGGTGGACCGCACAAGACCTAACCAAATCAAAACCCATAACTTGTCAAGGCTTTTCTGTCAAAATGAGCATCGACGACGTTTAGGAATAAAGAGACGCCTGTACAAAAATTGCGCGCCAAGGGGGACCGAAGGAGTGGAAGGGGACACAAAATCAGATCGTTGGCTTCTTGAACATTTGAGCCAGAAGTTGTTCTGGTGACGGTGCACAATCAATCGGGTACTGGCTGATATCGCGGAAGGTCTTCTCCAAATCAGCATCGGTTTCTAGTCGGCGTTTTCTGTGAACCGGCAGTAACGGATGCACAAAGTCCTCACTCTTCTTCAAGTCCTCGGCATCCTCGTATTCTTCGACGGGTTCGGCTCGAACTAGGAGGCCAGTCGGCTTCTCTGCTGTCGTCCGTGAATCCACCTCGTTGTTGACTTTCTACAATATGAAGAACAAAGATTTTGCATCACTGATTCAACCAGTGGAAAGCTGCCGACAACGCGCAACAAACCCTAGGTTCCACAGGCCTGGCAGCAACGTCCTCGTAAACGACTAAATCCCTTCGACCAAATTCGCGACCCCATTTTGTAACCACCAGGGCTGCTAACGCGGGAAAGACGGATTCTTCGGAGCTGTCCATTAGGAACGCCAGTGCTTCAGGTTTGGTTGAAGCCAAGTCGGCCTGCTTCCGATTCGACCGCTGGATGCGTTGACGATCACAGAAGGGTAGTAAAGGCACCTGCGCGAACTTGGAGACCACGTTGAGGTTACCGTTGAAGACGGTGCCTGCAAGGGGAGCAAATAGGGTCATAGGGATGAACCAGACTCGAAAAAAGCCCAATCGACTCCGTCAGGGGCGTGGGAGGAGTGCTTACAGGAGCCATCCGACATCCCCACAGCGACCAGACCCCGTGAAGGGTGGACAGCGAAAGCGTTGGTCAGATTTGAGTCAAAATGCCCGGAAACCGGTCGGAGCTTGCCTTTCCGATCCACGGAAATCACACAGAGAGCCCCTGTTTGGTCTGAATTTTTCCCCAACGACGCAGAACAACAGAGTGCTGCGAGGAGGTTTTGTGTGGAATCGAAAATCGCAAGTTTTGCGATTTTGGGGATCGTGCGAGGCGACTGCCAGGCTGTCCACTTGGTGAGGTCATAGGCGTGCAGCGGCAGGAACTCGTCCATCAATGACGCACCTTTTAAGTCAGCAAATTGAAAAACAGGGACAAATTTACGATTTAATTAATGCTCTCTACGCGCAGTGAAATGCCGTAGCACGCTAGAATAGTGAGAAATTGCGTAAAAACAAGTGCAAGTACACATTCCTTTGTACCAGGGCTCCCGAAATTAGCTGCAGAGCATGAATTTTGTGCAATTAACTTAAAAAAAACCTTACCTGACTGCCAACGGATCCAATTGTAGGACTTGAGACGTGTTCCAGAGGCCACGACGACAATACACCGTGGTGATGGCAGTGCCATAGCCTCTTCCCGTGTCTTTGTCACCTTCGCCTCATCGTCACAGTTTTTCAAACAAACCAGTCGAGAGGGCGAAAGGCGCGTGGTTTCTTCGAGGGTCGAGGGATTGAGCGTTTCGGCGAGAACACACGACGTCTGGTTCCACGGACGCTGAGTTAGCTGTGTTGCTGTGGTGCAAACAGAGTTAGACAAAACACTGGATAGTGACATTAACCGGCCTGTTTGGTGCATATGCACTCACCAGAGTTTGGGTTGTACTGCCATACTAGAATCCGACGATCACGAAGCAGCAAAACCGTCTGGAATCCACCGACGGATGTGTCTGGATGACGGAAGAATTTCAAGTCCGACGCCTGGCAGTTCAAGTAGGCGAGTGATTCACCGAAAACAGACTCAAATCTGGATGTTATAAATAATAAAAAACGACTCAGTAATAGTTAACCACGCCACCTAGAGCCACGGGCTCCAGCTAAAACTGCGGTACACTACCGTGATTGGCCGTTTTCCCCACAAACACGTCTCCACCAAATGAGTTGGGCCTGGTTATCGGTGGAGTAGCCGACCAGACTGAGTTTGAGATTGTCCATTCGCGGAAGCTGCAACTCGGAGTACGTGACGAGCCAGTCACCCCCTTCCCACGCATCGACCAAGAGAACTCCAGAGACAAGTGGGGCTGGAACACCGTCGCACATAACGTAATGCCGCTGGTTGACGTCGATCTGAAAAAAACACATGATTTAAAAAAAAGAGGGCAAAATTGCCCAAGAACACGCGAGTGGGTGCGTCAATGATGCTACCCCAAACTGGGCGTAAAACGCGGCCGATTGGTAAGACCAACGACTCACCATGTCTACAATTCGGCCACTGTCAAGTTCGACCACCTGTAGACATCCCAGAGCTCCGGGCAGAAGGAGAGCATTCGACCCCTTCTCTGGACGTTCCTTGCCTTTCAGTTTAAGAGGAATTACTGCTAGACGTCCACCTTGGGCTTCAAATGGTCTCCAACGCGTTGGCATCTGATCCAAACCCTCGTGTCTGTAGACCATTTCCAAAGCACCGTTCAAGACCAAAAACGCTAAAAGATAGGGCCGAGGAAGAAAGAGTGCTGGTATGCGTTGAAGGAAAACGACCAAACAATAGTGCGTGACTGTAAAAAAAATACAGACAGACAACACATGCTACTAGTAATGAACTTCACCGGCAAATATATCGGTTGTGGAAACCCCTACCCCCTATTGTGGTTTTAGAGTAGAAAAAATGAGAACATGAGAAAACTCACAATTCCGTTCAAGGGTCACCACCACGCAATCCTCGGAAAAGCCATCAGGTGAGCTTATTTCCCTGATCGGCGAATTCAGCATTGAAAGAAATCGACAATTCTTGTGTCCACCGAAACAATCAGTAAGGTCCCATTTGACCAGAACACCCTCCACGCCCCCACTGTAAAGATGCTTGCCTGTAATGGAGAGTGATTTCGAAGTAACACCTTCATATTTCACACTTATGCATTGATAAGACAGTACTTGAGCTTACCGTCAGCAGTGAATGCGAGAGCCGTCACGACTGATGGATGCCAGTGCATACCAGAGCGCTTGACGTGCTTGGGGTGAAGAGGGCGTGGGTTGGAACCGGCTTTTTTCTTGATTGCATGAAAATGTCCACCCTCATCACCGCTTTCGTCAGAACTATCGCCATCATCGTCATTATGCAACTCCGATTCACCGAATAAAGTGCATGGAGCAGTAGTGAGATTCCACCAAATCATAACTTCACCGAGCACGTTACCAGTCGCGACAATGGCTTCGGTTGGGTGGCAGGCAACGCAGTTCAATTTCTTGTAATTAGCGACACGTGACCCCTTGTCAACAGGAAGGTCATAACTAAGAAAAATTGAACAGGTAACAAAGGTCTAAACTTCAAATACTTTAAAAAAGGAAAAACCAAATTACAATAAGGAGAGCAAAGAAATGTGTCAACTTACCAAGTGTAATCGTTGAACTTGAGCCAATGGAGAAGCAGTTTGGTTTCTGAGACTGCAGCCACGAAATGTGCCTATGCGGTAAATGAAAAGCACAAGAACTTACATTGATATCAAATGCTTTTCCAAGGGCAAGTTCGGGAAAAATTCGAGTTGGGTTGTCAAAAGAATTTTCAGAAACGCTTATGCAAACTAAGAAGGTAAAACAAAACAGTGAACTACCTGAGGTCCCTTGTTCTAATAAGTAAGCGTACGAATTTAAATTACAAACAAGGTGAGAAATGGGTTTGTGGAAATCCAGTTTCTAAAAACAATTACGTAGACACCACAAAATTACCGACAACACATGACCGTTCTCTAAATCGCAGGTAACAATTTTCCCATCCAACCCACACGATACCAACTAAAACAGACGTTACATAAATTTATCAACATACTTTGCCTGATTTTATAAATAATTTTGTAACTGTGTCCGTGTGAACTGATATTTTGAACTGTAGTTTATGGGAGTCGCATTCACATGCATACACTACTTTGTCGGCTGCAAATACGATAAGGCTAAAAAATTACGACAATCAAAAGAGTTACTTTCGTTTCTTTATAAACAATGGCAAGGCATTTGTCAGAGCTGAGGATTTCCTGACCAGCCTCCTAAGCGGCGTAGGAAGGTCATGCATCTTTTCCTAAAAGCCTCCATAATTTCAAGGTCACATGGGTTAATCTAAACTCCATAAATTTAAATCATAGCCTAATATATATATATATAAGCAATGATTTTGCAATTTCTTAAAATAATATTCCACGTATGCAGAAAAGTTCTTTGGTTTGTGATAAAATAGGTGTTGTAGTCTCATGAAAATGTTCACCTTGACTTGAAAACATATTTTAAAAATGAATAAATACAGCCTAACCTGCTTTTTAAAATATCTGCTGTTATAATGATTGTAGATATAACTAATAAATGCTGCTTGGATTTCCTTAGGTTTCATGCACTAATGATAATTTGTGTATATTGTCTATATATTATTTGCATCTCAGAAATCAATAAATCGACATAATTTTACTTCAAAAAAAGTTTTATTTAATAAGCTCTGACAAAGCAGGGCCTTATCTGCAGCTTAACAAATTGCGAACGCTGCGCCATGGAAGTAAGAGCAATTCCTGTTTTTGTAGGGTTGCAAATCAAACAGTTAGATATCCAAAATATAGCCACTTGTCTTCTAAAATCAAAAACCTGATATCCAGAAAATCCGTTCCTTACAGCGTTATATTATTTAATTTTTTTCATGAAATATAATATTTTGGCTGATTCACTGAAGAAGTTTATTCACTTTTAAGAAAACCACACTATGGCAGGATTTCGTTACTTCTGTAAAAATGCCAGTTTTTCATTGTGTTCTTATGTTCTAGGCGATAGTAAACCTTCGAGATTTGCCTTATATTCCGATCACTTTAAATACACTAATATGCTTGAAAAGATTGATGGTATGTTGAATTATTTTGGATTCATAAGTTGCCAAGCTATCACGAAAAATAATTGTAAATTAAAGTAAAGGTTAACAAACACTGCAGTGAATTATTAAATCACACTTATATCACTTCATTTTTTTCCTCTAACGCCTTAAAAATAATGACAACTTTGTAATTGTTTCGTTTAACCGGAAAAAACCCTAGGATTAAATTCCATAAAGCTCACATCTAGATCAACAAATTGAATTTTACTCACACATTGCCGTAACGTATACCGGTATGCCTATGAACACATGTCTTTCGATTTATTATCGACCGACAAAGAAGTAGAATATTTTGATGACTCTGAAAACAGCTCTAAACTGGAGGCATCAACTTCAGAAAAATCAAAATTAAGCTGAGTCCGTCCATAAGTGATGTCGAAAGCGCACAACTTCGTGTCAAATTTGTTTCAGTTTATGAATCATTTGGCTCTGGTGTGGCATATAATGGTAAAATCAGCTGAAAAGAGCTAGTCGGAGCTATTATTTTAGTGTGGCCATTATGATGGTAACAGATTGGTGTTTTTACCTTTTAAATTAAATTATTTAAATTATAAGAAAATTTTATTTCTCTAATGCGGATGGTTAAATTCAATTTTGTGTAAGACTGTCATCAGGTTGTAAAGTTATTTAAGTGAATTAGTGGTTTGAGAACTTCTGTACGACACCAATAACGGACTGTTATGCAAACGTTTTCATAATAATGGCAGGGGAGAGTAAATAAATTTGATTTTCGTCACGGAATATTATGTGGCAAAATAAAAGTATTTATGCTTACTGACACATAAGCTAGTTTCAGCTACCAATATAAAAAATCTTTTTGTTCTTTGTGTCTTAAAATATCAAGAAATTAAATGGTGGCGCAGTCTTCGAAAATACCTAAAGCTTAATCCATTAGTGATATGTTCGTTTAGTCGTTTCAATATTTTTTCAATTGCTACTGGTTTGTTTTTAGTAACGATATTCAATTTCTTTTTTCGTGTTAGTAAAATGAAATGGAATGAATTTGATTTGTCTCATCTCACGATACCAATACTGAAAAAATCAAGAAACTATTGCAAAATTATCGACTGATTTGTCACATTCGCATTTCCGTCACGTCGTCTCGGATAACTTGAAGAATGTTCCTAGATATTCTTTGTGATGATGTGATTGTTCTAGACTCCTAACCGCTCTTTTGTGTACGGATATCGGCCGAAATTAATGCAACGAGTTCTCCGAATCTCCAAGACTGAAAGTCCGCTCAATCACATGGTAAGAATCAAGCCGCTGCATTGTCTCCCTTGTTCTGTAATTTCTGCAGTTTTTTGTTTATTTTAAGTGCAAAAATGTGTCGATTTTTGAGTTTAGGACCACGTCTTCAGAGCTGGGATGACACAGAAACGTACTCTGTACCTGATTGGTTGGACATGAGTCAATAATAGAGTAGATGACAAATCAATCTTAATTGGCCCAATGTCAACCAATTAACACGTGACAAATAAGGAACTTTTATTAACAGTTTGAGAATTAACCTGCATCACGAGTAGAAGGACACCGATTTATCACGAATACTGATATTGTTATAATCTGGCATCAAGAGAAGAGCGTGACTGGTTGCCCAGAATGACGATTTTCAAGGTTTTGTATATCGAGGTCAATTAATTAACATTTGGCCAATTAGCAGCGTTACTGAGCACCAATCTGCATCGTCAAAAATAATGTCGTCATAATATGTGACTGGTTGCTGGGGTCGATGCCTGGGGTTTAAAAAAATGGTTAATTAGGAAACCTAAATTGGAATTTACAGAGGAACTAAAGTCGAGTATATTTAACCGTGCTTATTTTTTTTACCAAACTCCTGTCAAATTTGCACTTTTCTGTGTCCACGTGGTGATGTTTTAAGTTGACCTCATAGTCAAGTGCACTTAATTGCAGCAAACAACTCGGCTTGTGATCGCAGTTCGTGCCAGCCCTCCAATAATCAATATCGATTTATGTGAGTCGCAAGTAGAGTACAGTGCTAGGTCATTTGGGGCATTTATAAGGCCCATCGTCTCTACCCCGGATCAAGCATCTCCGGTTGACCCAGTCCAACGCAGAACATGCTCAGAACCGTCGTCGTCTTCGTCCTCGCCTGTCACCTGGTTCCGACCCTAGCTTGCTACGGATTCGGCTGCAACGGTGACTACAAATTCACCAACTGTAAGACCAACGTCTGCCACTACGGACCGTACACGGGCTATGACTGTCAAAATGGCCTTTGCCTGCGCGTCTGTGTTGGTGGAAGCTGCTTCAACCCGGTATTTCCTAACGTCGGCTACATGGATGGTGGATTTCCAGGCGGTCAAGGCTATGGAATGCCCAATTACGGTTACCCTGACTACGGAATGAGTGGCTATGACAATAGTTTCTACCCTGGACCCGAGCAGTACTCTTCCGACTTCGGCTACAACCCCTACGGCTACGGACAGAACCAGGCGGCCGGTGGCTATGGACGCGTTGCCAGCAGCAACAGACAAGGTCGCGAGAACTGCGCCGACGGCAAGTGTGGTAGCTACAAGTCGGGCGCATCTGAGAGTTCCACGAGCAAGTCGTCAAACTGAAGCTCCTTTTGAGATGGGTGTAATCGAAAAAAAGAGAATAAACATAATTTTGAAAGTAACTTTGTTCGTTTGTTTTAAATTAAAGATGACCCTGTATGCTTTTGTTTTAATCGATGAAATTAACTGGTTAATGGTGTGGAAAGGAGTAGTTGATTGGCTTACAAGGAAGGGAATCTGGGGTTAAGTTTCTATTAACGATGTCAGTAGGATCCCTCGTAAAGCCTGATAAATGGTTGAAGATTGAAAGCAGACTGCCATGCTGCTGCTAATTGGGGTTCGATTTTAAATCGACCACAAAACCTGATACTCTGGACATTGATATTGACCTTAGTCCGGCGTTGATTCGGATCGTTGAGCTGAAAACGCACTTGATGTTCTGTTTGGAATTTTACACCACGAAACCGAATGAAACCTACGCCGAGGTCACTTGTTGCTAAGGTTGGGGTCTGGTAACCATGGGGGTCCAGAGGCGATACAATATCTTGAGCTAATGAGGCTTATTAATGAAAGAAAACCAATGCTATGCTATTGGCTGGTGGGTCCAAAAGTCACATACGATTGGTTAATTTTTCGAATTAATCTCTCAACGACCTAATGGTTTTCTGGTGTTCATTTAAAACAATGCCCCTGGAACTACGCTTTCAGTATGCTAGTCACGGTTTCCACTAAATCAACTTCGTACTGCTGCCTTCAGCATCTCCGGGTTTTAATTGTTTTTGCTGCCTTCTTGTTTTACTAGGCTGAAACGTTCACGAAGCGGTAGTTCAAGAGCATTTATCTGGTCCGATTTACTAATAGACTCGGTTTACAGTGAGAGTGCGGAGTAACCACACAATCACAGGTGAAAAGAATATGAGCTTTTGAATTGAAAATTTTAACATATATATTACTGAAATCTGGTCAACTTGCTGGCTTTACATTATT